TAGCTGACCAGAAAGAAAAAGAATTTTCTGCTTTACTGTTTCGTTTCTACTAGAAGAAAAGCGATTCTCTCGGCTGTACTGTTCGTTATTATTATTCATTCCTCATTTATTCTATCACCTCTATCACGTGAAAGATGAGTTCACGGATAGAGTCGGCATTGATCCTGAGCAATGTTATTTCACACAGCTACAACAATGCGTCTATTCATCTACCTCACAAACATTGAAAGAAAAAAAACCTCACGAACTATGTCACTGATCCCATAGCTAAAGGATTATTCACATTATAACACCTTCATTCAAATATCTCGCACCTTTGAACTTCCACAGTGACAGATCAGTTCACACGTAGCTCGGGTATGGCTTAGGAACAGTGTCACGATAATATCACGCATCCCATAGCGAATGAATGATTCACAGTACCATGCTGCCATTCGGATAGCCCGTATCTTCGAAGTTCCATACTGAAAGATGAGTTCACATATACATCGTGCATCGATCATTACCAATGTTATTAATCGCACGGCTAATGAATGATTCATATAAGTATAACATCTTCATTCCTATATCTCGCACCCTTGAACTTCCACAGCGAAAGATGAGTTCACACATAGATCGGGTATGGCTCATGAGCAATGTCAAGCATCCCATAGCGAATGAAGGATTCACACTAGTACGATGAGTCCATTCACATACCTGATATCGTCGAAGTTCCATGGTGAAAGATGAGTTTACACATAGATCGGGTATGGCTCATGAACAATGTCATGCATCCCATAGCTAATGAATGATTCACAGAATATCTTTATTCAGATACCTGGTATCTTCGAAGTTCTATGGCGAAAGATGAGTTTACACATAGATCGGGTATGGCTCATGAGTAATGTCAAGCATCCCATAGCGAATGAAGGATTCACAGTATATCTTTATTCAGATATCTCGTATCATCCAAGTTCAAAACTGAAAGATCAGTTCACGCATAGATTGGGTCTTCATCATGAACAATGTCACGCATCCCATAGCTAATGAATGATTCACACGATGAGTCCATTCAGATACCTGATATCCTCGAAGTTCCATGGTGAAAGATGAGTTTACACATAGATCGGGTATGGCTCATGAGCAATGTCAAGCATCCCATAGCGAATGAAGGATTCACACTAATACATCTTCATTCCTATATCTCGCACCCTTGAACTTCCACAGCGAAAAATCAGTTCACACGTAGCTTGGGTATGGCTCATGAACAATGTCACGCATCCCATAGCGAATGAACGATTCACAGTATATCTTTATTCGGATATCTCGTATCTTCGACGTTCATAACTAAAAGATGAGTTCACACTAATCAGGCATCGATCATGAACAATGTCAGGCATCCCATAGCTAATGAATGATTCACAGTATAACGATGAGTCCATTCAGATACCTGGTATCTTCGAAGTGCCCAGATGAAAGATGAGTTCACACATAGATCCGGTATTCATCATGAACAATGTTATTAATCACGTAGCTAATGACGACTCAGACCATGCTACCATACAGATATCGCGTATCTTCGAAGTTCCAAAGTGGAATTTGAGTTGACAGATAGATCACCCATTCATCATGAGCACTGTCGATGATCACATAGCTAATGCGTGAGTTGTACAAGTGTTCTATTCAGATATCTCGTATCGTCGAAGTTCTAAAGTCGAAGACGAGTTCATACATAGATCGGATATTGATCATGGAAAGGTTAGCAATCGCTTAGCTAGTGAATGATTCACACGATGAGTCCATTCATATACCTGGTATCTTCGAAGTTCCAGAGTGAAAAAGGAGTTCACGCATAGATCGGGTATTGATCATGGCAATGTTAGTAGTCGCATAGCTAGTGGATGATTCACACCAGAATGATCCACACGACCACAACATTTATCGGCTAAAGTAAAAGAAGCTATTAGAATGAAAGCTGAATGAAAGAGGGTCTAACAAAAGAGGAATAGCAGATTTGATATAAAGAAATGGTTTTTTACCTTCATTGCTTTGATTTTTTGTTGTCATTTTCTGTTGGTTTGGAGAGAAACTTTCGGATCCTGCCAATGTAGCACTGGCAGGGTGTTTTTGAATATCAGCTCCACTGAACGGGGATTCAAGTGAATCTAGGTGAAAGAAAGGTGACTGTTATTCCTTTAACTGCATGATACGAAGACCATTATCGAATGAGATTTCACCGGCAACTTGAAATAATTCGCTGGAAGTAGTAAACTTTCATTTTCTGTTTCAAAATAGGAGTGCGCTTAATTCAGTTTTATATAAAATTGATTTTTTATTACATGGATAATTGAAATTGATTTTTTCCCAGAAAAAAAAACTGTTTTCTAGAAAATTAAGCTTGATTTTCCAGCAAATGAAAAGAAGATTAACAGTAAAGGTTAAGATAAGTTCTGAGAGCATAACACTGGAGTAGAGCGCTATATCAGCGTAATTGATGGAGGTTCTTCATTTTTGATCTCAAGAGATTCTGTGTGTGTGTGTCGAAAGAAAATGATCATTTGATTATTTTTATGACCTTTGAGAATCTTTGCCCTTCTGATTTCTGGCTGAAAGGTTCGCTACTGTTTTTTCTTTTTTTGTTTCATAAGCCCCCACTCGAAGTAGAAAGCCACCCTATATTAGAAGGTCACCCTTTGTAGCAGACCATCCTGTTATGTCACGCACTACAGTCGTGTCATAATGGAGAAGATCATAGTTAAGGTTATTGCGCAAGCATATAGTCTAAATAATTGCGCAGGAATATATTCAAGGTTAAGGTGCAAGACTATGGTCAAGGTTATTGCGTAGACTCTAGTCAAGATTATTGCGCAGAGTCTACTCAAGATGATCGCGGAATATTTATTATATAATGAGATCAGTTTATTGTTAAAAGGATATCTTTTTCATTTTGTAAATAAACGTTAGGTGAGAAAGATCTTAGTTTACCCAGGGACCTAACATTGGTGCACTAGCCGGATTACTGTCAAGACAACATCACACTAATAGAATCCGAGCCAAGATAAGTAGAAAACAACATGAATGATACAATGATTGACCAAATTATAGCCAACTTACTCCGGAAAACGTTGGAAACACCAAAATTTTCTCGTAGCAAAGAGGAAAATGTTACCGATTGGGTGAAGACGGTAAAAGTTGAATTCAAGTTGGCAAACTGTCCAGATTCAGCTGAAGTTACGCGCATTCACTCATATTTATTTCATCAACAACACTATCAAGTACATTATGATCAACACACGTCAATACCACCGACAATTACGCCGACATTACTAGAGTATGAAGAATTAGAATGGCCAGAACAAGGTGAAACATGGGCTGATTATGAGATAAAAGAACAACGAGAAAGATTTCAAAAAACACCAATAAATGAATGTGATATATTAAGTAGTGGTAAACAATTATCAACAGCAGAAGGAGAAGAAATCAATGATAAAAAACAAGAGCAATTAGCAAGTGGTGTTATTGGGACGATGGATAAAAGTCATACTGTTCTATTGTCAAAATTATATGAGGCAATGAAACAATTTCAAGTGAAAAGGAAATCACCACAAGTATCATTGTCGTCGTCGTCATTATTACAATTCGCACGCTCTACTAGTCGTTTATCATCCCTATGCTTCTGTAATGGTACAAGTGGTGGAAAAGCATTATTCACAACAAGTATTCAGGATATTTATCAAGTATTAAATGATGGTGGCCGTATGTTCATCATAGGTTTATTGAAACATGACATAACGAATACATTAGGTAATACGAACTGGTTATGCAATTTACGGCTCCGTGAGCGGCAAAAGGTTTTAAAAAAAGAAGAGATGTTAATCGCATTTATGTTAGGTTCCCGGGTAAACTAAGATCTTTCTCACCTATCGTTTATTTACAAAATGAAAAAGATATCCTTTTAACAATAAACTGATCTCATTATATAAGAAATATTCCGCGATCATCTTGAGTAGACTCTGCGCAATAATATTGACTAGAGTCCCCATGTAAATATTTTTCAATCCCAGACGCGTCTGAAAACGCGTTTTTTGCTGCGTTTAATCGCTCTGAAAATGTACCATTTGCGAGCGTTTAAACGCATTTTCCCTGCCCCGTCTAAACGCGTTTTTACTAGACGCGCCTGAGCGCGTCACGGTACGACGCGTCTTGGAGACTTCTTTCGGTAAAGCGCGTTAAGACGCGTTTTTTTAAATAAAAAGTGCTAGACGCGTCTAAACGCGCCTCGGTACGACGCGATTAGACGCGTCTGACAATTTTTTTCTGAAAAAAACGCCTTTAGACGCGTCTTTTCCAAAATGAACGCGTCATTTCAGACGCAATCAATTTACGTGGGTCTACGCAATACTCTTGACTATAGTCTTGCACCTTGAATATATTCTTGCGCAATTATTTAGACTATATGCTTGCGTAATAATCTTAACTATATCTTCTCCATTATGACACGACTGTAGTGCGTGGCATAACACATCCACATGTCAATATTTCACAAAACATAATAGAAGGCCGCTGATGGCCTAGTCCAAAGTAAAAGGCCGGTCCAAAAGCTACGACTCATTGGAAAATTTTTGAAAGCCATGGCCTTTTTATCCATTGGGCAGAGGAGCGGGGTTATAATAAATGGCCGTCGAAGTAAAATTATTATTAAACGGGTTTAACTAGCAAGCACAATGAGTACTTTTTAACTTTTTTCGAGATTTTTCGGTATATCATTTGGTTTTCGTATTTCAGTTGAGGTGTTTATTAGTCCGGATATTTCTTTCGATTGTTTTTTTGCTTTGTTTATTATGATCGAGGAAGGAGAGTTTTAAAAACCACAAAGCTTCTATAAAATCTTCATTTCAGGCCAATTCCAGAAGTCATGATCTTCTGTAACCTATGAGCTGGCTACTGTCTTACTTAACATCAGCTGCAAATAAAAGAGGAAGTAGATCATTTACGACGAATTATCCTTAATCGTAAATTCCATAAAGCGGCATTTTTATTGTATTGTTCCTGAAAATTAGTTGTAGTATCTAGATAATTTAGAAGTTTTCCTCTCTTCTTCTACCAGCATATCGGTAGATCCTGACTTATGAAACTAGTGAGAAATCAAAGTCTGTTTGGTCGAAAAATCTTCCTTGGAACTGGTCTGAAACAGGACGTTGTTTCATTATAAGGAAAGTTCAGTATAAATGATCAATTCTGTCGACTATGCGTAAATTATCGTCCTGATTTGACATTAGCCTAGGCGAATATCACATTAGCCTGATTAATTCTAAATTGTGCTTTAGACTAGTCCAATCTTACATTCGCCTGGTGTTTCCATTGGACTGATACTTTTTACTACATTATACTTTGGACTAGTTCATAGTGAAATTTCACTTTGGCCGCCCTAAGCAAAGGACTAACCCCCCTCCCCCTCCCTCATAATAGAAGACCACTGCTGACTATATGATTTTAAAGCCAAATAGAAGACCATGATCTTCTATTATGTCTGCCAAAAAAATCGATAAATGCCGTATATCTACCTATAGGGGAATTTTCAAAAAAATTTCGCCAACAGGTACTTCTAATAGGGGATGGACTTCAAGTACGTGGGAGTGCCCTGGACTACTGGCAGGTGAGAAAATTTGATCACAATAGAAGGCCACCTTCTAGGACTCGACCTGCGGGACAAAATAGAAGACCAGGTGGTCTTGGGAGGGGAGGGTAGTTCAAAGTGGAATTTTACTTTGGTCTAGGCCAATATTACATCGGACTGAATTTCACCTTGGACGCTGACAAATATAACACTCATCCTAGCTGACCAGAAAGAAAAAGAATTTTCTGCTTTACTGTTTCGTTTCTACTAGAAGAAAAGCGATTCTCTCGGCTGTACTGTTCGTTATTATTATTCATTCCTCATTTATTCTATCACCTCCTGAATTAAAATCATTCTTGTTGTTCTCTGAAAGACCATTTGGAAATACAAGTAACGGGATCGGTTTGACCACACGGTTAGATTGGGTTTAATTTAAATTTATTAAATTGTGAAATAGATAGAGACCCTTTAATTAATAAACGATATTCAATATAATATAATTTATATCATATATTTTAAGGATAAAATACCTCTGGACTTTTTACAGTACAGCCGAGAAAATCACTTTTCTTGATAAAATAGATGTTATTTCTCATCGTTTTTCATGCTGATTCCGAATAGCACCGCCGCGACGGTCCGCGATGCTCAGCAGCTGAGATATTGATATTTTTTGAAAAACAGGAGCTTTTCATAAAAAAGAACCCCTCTCACCATTTTGAATATTTTTTAAAAATAAAATTTTGGAAAACTTCGAGTTACGCGCACCTTACAATCAAATATAGTATATGATGTAAAAGTCAAAACTGTAGTTCACGTAATCTTGGGAAAACGATTCGACAGGCCTGTAGATGATTTTGGGAACATGGACAGGAAACCTGCCTTTATTTGAGTTTCTATTACCCAATATAGTGTAACACCAGTAATTCAGTCAGGAAGGTATCATTTATCAAGAAACAGAAGCCTCAAAAACAATAACACATCAAACGCACAGCAAGAATGATTTTAATCCAGGAGGTGATAGAATAAATGAGGAATGAATAATAATAACGAACAGTACAGCCGAGAGAATCACTTTTCTTCTAGTAGAAACGGAAGAGTAAAGCAGAAAATTCTTTTTCTTTCTGGTCAGTTAGTACGAGTGTTGTATATATACATGTTCTTTCTCATTCTACTTAACTTAACTTCCATGTAAGGTGCACGTAATTCAAAGTTCAAGCAGATGATAGATTCTTTTGAAACACACATCATTCGATAGAGCTCGATGCGCTCTACAATTCTGTCACCTTTAAAATCATTTTGGTCCTTCCATAGGAGTCCAGGAGTCCGCTATTTCCCCCATGAGTAAAGTGCGTGAAAAACTTTTTAGAACTACCTTTCTTCAAACTTACCGTTAGTTCGGACCAAAATGTCATCTGATCCGAACAGCTCACCCACAAAAAAATTAACTACAGATCTTTAATTTCAAACGTTGTGGAACATAATAGACCGTACTTAAACTTGAGCAGCGGAAGTGATAGGATTTTCACATTGCACCTGAAGGTTAGGAGATCAGAGAATGGTTTTTTAGCTAACGATATACGTTAACCTTTCACGAATATCTGAAATGAGTCTTGGGATCTTTCGATTATACAAGGTGCAGTGTGCATTTCTAGCTCATGAAACTCATCGAAATGTTTCTACAATAAATCATTTTTTCATGAATTACATCATTTTCCCGTCATTAGATAATGTATTGAATAGAAGGTTCTCAATTATTATGAAGGTTCTCAGACAATCCTTTTTTCAAAAATCGGTCTAGAAGATCAAAGTGAGAAGTTTCGTTTGAACTTTTTTCATGCGTGACTTTATGTTTCACACGATAATTTGATGGGTTGGTTCCGAGCGTGTCATTGATTTCATGAAACAACTGAATGGAAAGCCACTAGGTTTTTTCAGTAGCCTGCGTTTCGGTTTAGGAAAAAAATCGTATAAGGTGGCGTCAACTATTAATCAGTGAGACACAAAAGTACACTCAACAGAAAGCGTCGTTTATAAAACTAGTAAGGGTCAAAGACTTTATTACAACATGATATCACTAATCGGTTGATGAAAGCAGTATCCATATTTTATTTAATTAAAATTAAGAATAGTCGGCGAGTCGACTGTTCATACAGTCAAGAGAACATACTGTAAGGTGCATGTAATTCAAAGTTCGAGCAGATGATAGATTCTTTTGAAACACACATCATTCGATAGAGCTCGATGCGCTCTACAATTCTGTCACCTTTAAAATCATTTTGGTTCTTCCTGGAAGGAGAAAACCTTGAAATACTGGATCTCGCTAAAATGAGGTTTTGACGAAAAACCCACATAACTCTTTTTCCTTGTACTTTTGACTTTTAAGTCTTTCATATTCGGATTCGCCATGTC